CCAATTAATTAGACACGTCATTTAACCGAAGTTTGGTTGGAGGTGAGGTGGTAGCATTGGCGGATCTACACGTAGCAAAGAGGCTTCGTCTACTTACCATATTTGTATCCACTTTCAGAGCATCTCCAACAGCTTCTCCATTTCCCACTTTTGGAGAATTTAGTTAGGTTTTTGGTCCAACAGATTCTCCATCTCATTCTCCTAAATAGGGATGGAGGAGAAAAAATATGGAAGCTTCCCTAAATCTGCAGCATTCTCCAAATTTTTAGAGGAAAAAATGAATTCTTCAAAATGGGGAAGCTGTTAGAGTTGGTGTAAAAATAATTTGAAAAATATGACTTTTGTTTTCCCATTTTGGAGAAAATTTTGAAGAAACTGTTGGAGATGACCTCAAAGACCATCGCTACTAAAAAAACTCGCCACTAAAACTGTTACGTGAACATTACATTTTACCATTCATTTCTTACATGCCCCTAACTTTCTTCTTATGTAAGAAGCTCTTGACTTTCTGAAGCCCCTAAATTTTACAATCTCTTTTCTAAAAAGCCTCAAAGTTTCTTTCTTTCTTTCTTTTTTTTACAAGAAAAATCCTAAATTGACAAGAAGAGTTGGGTGCTTCTTAGAAAAGAGAACTAAAATTAGGGGCTTTGACAAGAAAGTTGAGGGTTTCTTAAAAGAGAGTAAAAAACTTTGGGGTTCCTTTGTTAAAACAAGTTGCGGGTTTGTTAGAAAAGCAGAGTAAAACCTTTTCCACTAAAATCTTGGATCACCTGACTCACATCACTAAATGTGTAGCCACTAATTGAAAAAATTGTATTTGACCATGTTACTAATGATAAGAGTACGTATGTTTTCAGAATATGAAAACTTAATGTGGACAATTGTAAAGTTTATAATTATTAATTATATAGTAGCACTATTTTTTAAAAATCACGGCTCCGTACAAAGCACATCCTATTGTTTTCTAATTAGTTTTGCTACATGGACCAAAAATATGAGACCAAACAGTAAGGACATGTGAGGCGTCCCACTCCTCTTACATAATGAGTTGGCCATCATTAATGATGGTCAGCTCATTATGCAATAAGAGTGAGACACCTTACCTGTCCCCCCTGTTAGTCCTATATTTTGGGTACTTGGAGAATTTTTCCTTTCGAATTCATCTTTACTTTTTGCTTGCTCCTCGCCTCACATCACCCGCCCCTCAAAAAAGAGTGGCACTACAGGCACACCCCCAACCACACCTTGGGGCACACCCCCTCTCTCAGCTACAGTGCACGGGGCCCACTTTAGATTTTTTTTAAAAAAAAATATAAAGTGGGCCGCCCGTGCACTGTAAGCTGAGAGAGGGGGTGTGTACCAAGGTATGGTTGAGGAGTGTGCCATGTATGTTTTCCCTCAAAAAAACCTCAACCACAGTTACAATTACAACAGCCGTACCCCGTACCAAACAAGCTCATTAAACTACAGTTGGAAGATAAGATGAATGCTCCTTGGATGGCAACTCGTCTGGCCACCGTGCAGCCAACGATGCGGCTCGTTTGATTGCAAGCACTTCGGTGGATTATCGTGTAGAGAAAGTATCTAATGGACCCGGTTCATGATATTAAAATGTACATCAAACGGATAACAGTCGGAATCGGATCATGAGCCTGTGGTTCGTGCACCGATCCAAGGATTGATAACA